TATAATAAAATTGATATCATGTCATCTTTTCTTGAAAACCATGTCATCATGTTTTGGTGAAAATAAATTTAGTAATAAAATTTTTCAAAATTATTTCTTAAATAATATATAAAAAATATTTATTTTTGCGTTTATCCTAGATATCTTTTCACCAGATCATAAATTCAAAGTTTGATATCAGTTTGTTGTGTATTGCTCTTGTACTTCCCCCTGGACTCCACCAAAATTGTGCTACTGCACTGGTCAGTTTCTTTATAGTGGCCTTGGGAAGCCTATAACAGGACATCACGTGATTAGGTAAGGCCGTAACTACAGATTTGATGATCACTTCCTTTCTCCCTTCGTAAAAAACCTGAAAGTCCATCCATTCACCCTCTTATTTAATCTTTCCTGCACAAACCCAAACACCTCTATTTTAGATCCACCCAAATTCTCTGGTAGACCCAGATATGATCTCATTCCTCCTAAATTTTGGACTCCTAAGAGATCCCTTAAGTTCTGATGTGTAGTTCACCTACTTTGTGGCCAAATTGGATTGAAGACTTTTGAAAATTAATCAATTGACCCGAAACAACTTCATAATCCTTGAGTATCTTGAGGATGGTCTCACATTCCTCTAGATTCGCCTTACAAAAGAAAAGACTATCGTCTACAAAAAGTATATGAGAAATCGATGGGCACGCTCTGGCCACCTTCATCCCTGTTAACTTTTTTTGTCGTTCTGCTTTTTTAATATTCAGAATTAAAGCCTCCGTATACATAATGAAAAGATAAGGGGATAAAGGATCGCCTTGTCTTAAACCTCTCTGGGGGTAGTGGACCCCCGGGGTTGGCCATTTATAAGGACCTTGTACTGGACTGACGAAATACATTCCATCATGAGCTTTATCCAATGTGGATCAAAGCATATCTTGTATAGTAAAGCCTGAATGAAATCTCATTCCACTCTATCATATGCTTTGCTCATATCTATTTTTATCGCCATAAACTTTCCCTGGCAAGCTTTATTAGCTCTTAAGCCATGGAACATTTCCTGAGCAATGAGGATATTATCCGAGATTAATCTCCCCGGCACAAACGCTGATTGAGTTTCCGAAATAATTTTGGGCAAACAGCATTTTAGACGCTGGCATAAGACCTTCGAGATAATCTTGTAACCAACATTGCAAAGACTTATCGGTCGAAGTTCCGACATCCTTGTGGGCCTCTATATCTTAAGAATCATACATATATGAGTAATGTTTAAACGCGCATCAAGAGCCCCTATAACTTGAAAACTGTTCACCATCCCAACAAGATCATGTTTGACTATATGCCAAGAGTGCTGGAAAAAAAGCGCTGTCATTCCATCTTGTCCTGACGCCTTTTCTGGGTGCATCATAAAAAGGGCCTATTTGACCTCCTCCTCTGTGGCAATCCTTAACAACTTTTGGTTCATTTGAGGTGTGATGTTTAAAGGAATTTCCTCTAAGAACTCGTAAAATTTGGATGGAAAAGTAGAGGTAAATAAACCTTCAAAATAGTGCACTGCTATTCTTTCCACACCATTATCCTCTGTTATCTAATTACATGCTTCATCATGCAGTCCCACTATTTTGTTATCCAATTACCAGCTTCATCATGGGATAAATTGTGCTTAGATAAGGACGAGGGGGGATTGGGGTTTAAGGATCTGGAGGATTTTAACATGGCGATGCTTGCCAAGCAATTATGGCGCCTTATAGAGAAACCAAACACTTTGTTTTCTCGTGTTTTCAAGGGTCGGTACTATAGGAATGCGTCACCTTTGGAACCGATCCGATCATATTCTTCTTCATATGGCTGGAGGAGTATGATATCTGCTAGATCTCTGGTTAGCAAAGGACTTATCAAACGAGTGGGATCTGGATCTTCTATTTCGGTATGGAACGATCCATGGCTCCCAACCACTCGCCCGAGACCAGCAAACAAAAATCAACATAACCTTTACCCGGAACTCACGGTAGATTCTCTCATCAATACTAACACGCGAAGCTGGAATATGCAGGTTATTAGAGATTTAGTTGACCCTCAGGATTCGAAAATTATAAAAAGCATACCACTTAGTAGGAACTCAATTGGAGGATACGGATGTATGGCATTTCAACAAGAGTGGAAAATATACAGTTAAGTCAGGTTACCAAGTGGAAAGGGTATATCCAGATAAAGAGAAACCACCTGACAGTCAGGGACCCACTGTGGATTTATTAAAAGCGCATTGCTGGAAGGTACGGTGCCCTCCTAAGATTAAATATTTCCTATGGCAGTTGCTATCTGGATGTATTGCTGTCAAGAAAAATTTTGCAGGCGAGAGGTATACAAGGTGACATATATTGCGATAGATGTGGAGCTGCAGAAGAATCGGTTAATCATGTGTTTTTTGAATGTCCCCTAGCACGCTAAGTTTGGGCACTATCAAAGATCCCTCTTAACCCGGCGACATTTCCCACAAGCTCTCTATTCACAAATATGTATCATTTGTTCTATCGAGTTAGACCTAAAATGGATAATCATCAATATGCATGGATATTGTGGTATATTTGGAAATGACGAAATGGCAAGGTCTTTAGCAATTTGGATATAGATCCTAGGGATACGCTTTCGCTGGCAGAGACAGAATCTATTCTTTGGGAGGAAGCCCAAGTAACACTTGCTCAGAGGGGAATACAACAATAGGGAACCACATAATATTCCTTCCGTCCTAGGACATTGGTGTTTTACAGATGGTTCATGGAAAGATAAGGAAGGTTTGTCTGGTCAAGGTTGGTATAGTACACTTGAAGGTTTTGCTGGTTTGATGGGAGCAAGGAATGTGAGAGCTTGTCTTTCGCCTCTTCATTCGGAAATAGAAGCCCTTATATGTGCAATGGAAAGTATGAGGAATTTGCGTCAGTAGCTCGTCACTTTTGCAACGGATTGCTCTCAATTAGTGAAGATGGTTTCGGAATTAGAAGAATGGCCAGCCTTTGCAAACTATTTGGAGGATATTAAGATCCTCAAAGGAAACTTCCATAGCTCATAAATCATCCACGTACCAAGAACGTTGAATTCACGGACGGACAGTCTAGCACGCAGTGCAAGGAAACAATTGTCCTTCGTCGTTCATATAGATACAGAACTATCGGTTTGGTTCGCAGAATCAATATAGTCTTGTCGATGTCAAAAAGAAAAGAAAAAAAATCAGTTTGTTGTTTCAGGCATGAAAAGAAACAGATACAAAAACATATATATAAACACTCAAAAATAAAAGACACAAGATTTAATGTGGTTCACCCGCGTGGTTACGACTACATGCAAAAAGATTAATGTAATATACATACATGATTTATATAAAGTATCTCGCATCTTTACACCCCTAAGTATTATCATGGTCAATAGATTTATTTAGTTCTTTATACATCTCAACAAACTTGCGGGCTATATGATAATCAAATATTTTATTCGATTAGTTTTCTCCTGCAGCCTCCTTTCTGTCTATTTGCGTATTTTAAATTTGGTTAAAAACAATAATACTAAACTATTTAAGTAATAGTTAATTGAATGGTAAGTTGATAGTTGACAAAAAAAAATGGTAAGTTGATATAGAATAATATATATATTACAGCAGTCAGGGATTTAAAACTAAATTCGTTACCCAAAAACATGTAGTCATATTTTCATCCATCGTCTGGTAAGGATTCTCAATTCCACATTTTAGGTTCCGGTCCCATTGAAATTTGGTCATTTCAACTTTGACATGAAATAAATAGTGTACAAGCGCAATATTTTGATTGAAGTTGCTTTTTTTTTTCTTTTTTTAATAAATTTTCTTAAATCTCCTAATTGGGCATTGTACACTTACAAACAGCTAAAACTTGAGCAAAATTCGTTACAACCCAGGTAATAGCAGTTTTGACTCATCGGCCACACAGCCAAATTGTGGGCGAACCTTCCATCATCACTACCGAACCAGGTTAATCCGGGCAGGAGCTGACGCTACCAACTCTCCTTCTAGCTGAGGTAATTGTAGACTCCTAAGCTCACCAAAAGAAAAATAAACTATACCTACGTAATTGTAGACTCTTAACGTAATTGTAGACTCTTAAGTTGCTTATTTCATACTTGCTCCATGCATTAAATTCGTGATACTGTACAGATTTTGGGTGAAAATGTTACTGCTATCAAATTTGGATATCTTACAACTTATGTTACCCAAATTTTAAACTACTTTTAATCATTTCATTAAGGTTATTTGGTTACTACTCACTTAATAAACTATTTTAATATAATACATCATCCTCACATAAAACTGTGCTGCTGGCTCTAAAGGTGTTCTTGCTATACATTGCAAGATTTTGAAGTGATTAGTGTTGATATTCTCGCCGATCAAACACCTGTAGAGACTGGTATGTATTATGAGTTTTGAAAGGATTAATGTTTGAAGAGAAACAACTGAATATCAAACGAATGGTGTTCAAAAGAAGAAGGGCAAGAACATGAGCCATGCTCAGACTCCAGCACACTCTTCACATGGCTAGTGGATACAGTCAACATAGAATTCTTCAATGAGGTAAAATCCTTTTGGTTTTTAGGTACTTGGTATGTTACTATGGTAAAGTAAGCAAAGAGCTAATCAAATTAGCTGTGGTAACATTTGGGAAGGAGCTTATCTGGGCTATGGAAGCCACAAGCATGTATTATCCACTGTCATATTTTTAGACATGTTTAGTATGTCAGGTGAGGCCAACCACAGAACATGGAAGGCATCACAGCTACTGTTGGGTTAACGGCTCAACATTACTATTATATTTCTTATGACATAAAAAAGGAAAAAAAAAAGTCCGCGTCCATCTCCAAAGCATCAAATATTTTTTAAAACGTTTCACCAAATCCCTTGTGAATTAGGATAAAAGCACAAGAACAATCAAGTAATTCGCTTATCCATCACACTCTTGNACATTACTATTATATTTCTTATGACATAAAAAAGGAAAAAAAAAAGTCCGCGTCCATCTCCAAAGCATCAAATATTTTTTAAAACGTTTCACCAAATCCCTTGTGAATTAGGATAAAAGCACAAGAACAATCAAGTAATTCGCTTATCCATCACACTCTTGGGCTTCATAACAATGTCTTACTACAAGCAAGAGTTTTCTCAAACAGAGGATATATAAAACTTGTTTGCTTAGTAAAAAAGAGAGATGATGCGGCTAAGATGATCTTCCCACTGGTTCAAAAGCTTCAACGGTGACAAATGTTGTTTCCTCTTATCACCTACCACCAAACCAAATACATAAAGTAAAAGATCGGTCTAAATGCAACAGATGATTAAAGAGAAAAAGGATATTCTCAGACACAATAACGAGAGACTTGCCACCATTCCAGTGTCTCTTTTGTCATCACCGTTCACCTCCACGGTGTTATCCACAACAAGATTCATGAATTGGTCGAACCCACGAAGAGTACCGACAAACAATCTGTTAGCGTTAAGATTAACTGCATTTCAGACACCAATTGATCAGTTTGAAGACCGATAAAAGGAAGTTGAAACTGCTGATTGTGTTACTGAAACCAGATTTGAGATTCAAAGCCAAGAATCAAACTCTAGAAACATAGATGAAGATGTTGGACTTACTTTGGAGTTTCTTGTCCATGTACCTACATCCCGATTAGTTTTCTAGCCTGATCATTTGCAGGATCCAGTTCTAATATCTTTTGCAAAAATACAGAATCTAATCAAACTCACTCTTTGTACCAGAAAACTAACAAAGTGATTCCTCTAAACTCTCTTCTTTTGAGACTTTTGACTCACCCGTGAGAGCTTCTTCAAAGTGTTGAAGCTTCTCATGAGCTTCTGCCCGACGAACTAAAGCTTTCGTATAGTTTGGATTCAGCTCAATCGCTTTCGTGCATTCCTTTACTGTTTCTGCATGTTTACCCTAAAAAAAAACATTACTGTGCAAAGATCACATCAGCAATCTTGACGACTATTTACAGCAATAACATAATAAACCCAAAAAAAAAAACAAAAGAATCTAATAAAAATTTCAGATCATTCACTACCAACTTGAGATAACATATTAGCTCTGTTTGAATGGCAGGTCGACCTAAGCTCTGAAGATTCATGAGAAAACTGTAAAGCTCATACTTTGACAATGCGTCTTCGTAACGACCATCTCCAAACAGTTTGTTTCCTTCCGCTCTAGCTTCACTTTGCATCTTACAAAGCTTTCTTGACGACTATTTAAGTAGAAGCTAAATTAGGAGAAAAAACTCGAATCCCTACTCAATCTGAACTGTAAAAATATCCACAGAACCTGTACCCGTACAGACCGACAGAATCCCAAAAACATTCTCAAAACCCGACCGGGAGATCCGAATTAATATCCGAAATGCATTTTTTTATATTTGGTAAAACGTCCGAAATGTATTTGAAACCTAAATAAATACTTCAAACAATCAGTCAATCTAGCTGCTAACTCAAGCTTACACTATTTCATGTCAGTTCAATAATAATTTACCGGTCAAGCCAATATCAACGATGGTGGTTGATCGACGAACGATCTAGCATATTTTTTTTCTTTTTGCACAAGTTAAATAGATTGATGATCACAAAACAATTGCATATGCTAGAAGTCTCTTAAAAGTTACAAGAGTTACCCGTAAGTTCTAGATCCACATTAAGGCTCTTAAAAAGGATCAAAGTTGGAACGTAAAAAGAAAGAGAGTATTATAGCTCAAGTGAGAACTAACTATTGTTGCTTTCTCCTTCTTGAAGCAATCTCCAACGCCCAAGCTTTGCCTATATCAGTCTGGAACTTCCCTGAATCAAAACCGCAACAAGTTTTAAAGCCTTCAACCGTATACATACATGCACTCTGATTATGTAAATTACATTGCAGCAAAAGAATCTACCTGCGGTTGATGTGAAAAACTCTTCTAGATCTTTACCTTGCTCTGCTCAAAACAAAAGAAACCAAGTTTTAGTTTATCCATATTGCCAAAAATTCAGGAGTTTTTTTCTTGAGGTCATTTACCTTGTTCATATTCCAAAGCTTGTAGTATCATCTCAAGCTTATCAAAATCCTTAACAACTTTGGCTTCAGGTGATTCGTTTGCTTCATATTCTCTCCACAGCTCATCAATTTCTTCAGCTGCAATTATAACATTTGTAGAAGTTGAAAGTGTTACAAAAAGACCAGTGTAGTTTTCAGAATAAGAGAAGAGAGAGCCCAACCTCTTTCTCCTCCACCCAAGAGTTTGCACATGTGTTCAAGTGCTTCACTTTCTCTTCGGTTTTTCTCTTCTTTAGAGACCCCACAAGAAGGTGTTATATCTCCCACAATGGCTGTTCAACAACAACAATCATAGAATTCGATAACTTGCGATTAGAAAAAAATACATCTATAAGTGAAAGAACTAACCTTCTGCAATGTCGTGAACTATTGCCATTTTCATGCATCTGAAGAAAGAAAGCATGGGAAAGTTTAAAAGAATAGTTCTTTCCCCAGCAAAATTGAAACTTAAAGATAAAGTAGCAAGCAAGAAAGCTTACTTGTCTCGGTTGACACCAGGAATATCAGAAGAAACTAGGGCCATAAGACCCATGCGGTACATGTGATCTGCTATTGATTCTGGATTCTTCACATCTCTTTTAACCCATCCAGCTCTTGGAGTTGTCTTTCATCAAAACAAACAATCAAACTTCACATGTATAAGAAGTATTTAATAATCACAAAACATCAAAAAAAAAGTATTTAATAATTAAATATTAAAAATAATGATCTTATAGATCTACGAGAGAAGACAATGGATCATTGGAAGGTGAGTGTGACATTACCTTGAGGCGAGAGCAGAGGGAGAGAAAATCGATGGCGGAGGAAGCAAGGGAAGGAGGAGGGACGGAGACGGAACCATCTCCGCTTCGATTCGGGGATTCTTCGTCGGCCATGCAGTGAATGGGTATGTTCGGAGACGAGGAGCGATGGAAGAAGCGGAGGTGGGGAGGAGTGAGAGAGGGGAAGACGAGGGAGAGTGATTTGGAGGAGAAGAAGCCTTTATTCATCACATTCCTCATTTCCTTTTTCTTTTTTGTTTATCTTCTTCACGTTTTGGGATGCGTGTTTGTTGTGTGTGTTTCAATTGTTTCACTTAGTTTGGGCCTTATAATTATGAAGGCCCATTAATGTAAGTGGGTCAATCAATTTCGGCGGCGGGGAGATTATCAATTTAGAGGTGAAGATAATTAAATATAACGTTTCTAAATTAAAAAAACAAACAAATCTATACTATTAAAAGGGACTAATCGAGGCTCATGGGAGCGTCCACCTCATTATAATAACCCTATTCAAAAAGATGCCACATGGCAAACTTAAAGTTTTACATTTTAATATTACTAATTTTCAATAATATATAAACATACAACATAAAAATAGAAATACTATATCAAACATATGTAAAATTACCATTTTTACTAAAAGAAAATACAGCTTATCTCCATAATATAACATTACCATTTTATAAAAAAAAGTTAAAAAGATTATATATAATTTCGAAAATAATAAATTATATGTAAACATACAGCATAAAAAATGGAAAAACTACATTAAACATATGTAAGATTGCCATTTTTCACTAAAACAAAATACAGCTTATCTCCATAATGTAACATNTATGTAAACATACAACATAAAAAATGGAAATACTACATTAAATATATGTAAGATTATCATTTTACATTAAAAAAATAACAATATGTAAACATACAACATAAATGGAAAACTACATAAAACATATGTAAGATTACCTTTTTCACTATAAAAAGTAATATGTAAACATACAACATTTAAAATGGAAATACTACATTAAACAATTATATTAAAATATTAAAATAAATAATAAGTAATATACAATTAAAAAAATAGAAATACTACATTAAAAAAATGTATAGTTTTACATCAAACAAATCCCTATAAAATCCATTATTCCATCAACATCAGTCTCACACCTCTTAAAAAAGATCTCCAAAGAACTTCAGAAAAAAAAGAGGATTGTGTGTAGTAGAAAACTAAAGAACGAACAAGAAATTAACAGAAGGAAATAGAGCATCCAATTTGTATTATACAGGCCGTTCTTGCAACTCCTAACATCAACAACTCTTGCGAAGATGATGGCAGTTCATAAGCACATATTTATTCCTCGGAGGATTTACATGTAATATTATATTTAGTTGGTCACACTAACACTTTGATTTCATTAATAAAACAATTTTCTCTCTCCTTGAGTTATATTAAATAATTATTAAGATATCATTTTGTTTTACTAACCACTATACATTTAAAATGGAAATATAGATTTATATATATATATATTTGTTACTAACCACAAAATGATGTAAATGTAAATAATGATAAGATTATTAGGTTTCTTTAACCGTAAATTCAACTTATTAATAATTATTGTATATTAATAATTATTTAATATACAATAGAAATATAAAAAAAATATTATATTAAATATCTATCTCGGAAATGTAGAAGAAAAAGATAAGCAAATATGCAAAATAAAAATATGTAAATATATAATATAAGAAATATAATATTACAATAAACATCTATAATAATATTATCATAAAAATAAATAAATATACAATATAATAAATATAAAACTTATACAATCTAAAAATAGAACTATTACATTGAACATTTATCTGAAAAATAAACAATACAAGAAAAATAAAAAAAAAAAGTAAATATACAAAAAAATAGAAATATCACTTCAAAAATATTTCTGGATAATATATAATAAAATAATTAATAAGAAAATATAAAATATAAAAATAGGTAAGCATACAATATAAGAAATAAAAATATGACATTAAACATCTATTGTTATATTGTCAAAAAAAAATTAAATATACAATATAAAAACAAATATAAAATTAGTAAATATACAATATAAAAATAGAAATATTACATTAAAAATCTATTTGAAAAATGTATAATAAAATAAGTAATAAGTATATATGCAATATAAAATAGGTAAATATACAGTATAAGAAATATAAATATTA